GAAGTGAAAGTGAATGGAAAGCCGTTCCGGGCCATCCTGGACTCAGGCAGTGCGGTAACTCTGGTCCAGTCGCATATTCTCGCCCCCCGAACGGAGTGTATAACCTGTATAACCGGAGTCCCCATAACCTGTGTCCACGGGGACACACGACAAGTTCCCGCTTGCAGGGTGACCATTTCAGCAGCTCCCGGCACCTGGCCGGTGGAAGTTGGGGTCATGAAGGATCTTCCCGTCCCCGTGCTGATCGGGAGAGACTGGCCAGGGTTTGACCACCTGCTGGCCATGGCTACGCAGCCTGCCAGCCCGGGGGGGGGGGGCCGAAGAAGGAGGCCCACGACAGGACCTCGTCAGCGGCCCGTGCTTCTGGCCTCGGATAGCGGGAGAGAAGGTGAGTCCCCCTCCCAAAATCCTAACGTCTTATATGATGTGTTCCAACAGGTGACTGGAGGTGGCTCATTTGGGAAGGAACAGCGGGAGGACGACAGGCTGAAGCATGGATGGACCCAGGTCCGGGTCATCGAAGGCAAAGAGGTTCAGCCTGGTCCCCACCCTCTCCCACACTTCGTTGTGCAAAATGGCCTGCTGTACTGTGTCGCACAGCGAAGGGGGGAGGAAAAATTGTTGTTGGTGGTGCCACGCCGTACTGGAGCTGGCTTACTCCCATCCCTTGGCAGGGCATCTCGGAGCCGGGAACACCAACCAGCGGATCCGCGACCGCTTCCACTGGCCGGGCTTGGAGGCCGAAGCGAAGCGGTTCTGCCAAGCCTGCCCGACCTGCTAAGTGACGTCACCCAGGATGCCTCCCCCCAGTCCGCTGATACTGCTGCCCATCATCGAGGTGCCCTTCGAGCGCATCGGGATGGACCTTGTGGGGCCGTTGCCTAAGTCTGCCCGGGGACATGAACACATCCTGGTTATCGTCGACTATGCCACCCAGTACCCTGAGGCAGTGCCCCTCCGAAAAGCCACCGCCAAAGCCATTGCCCAGGAACTCTTCCTACTCTCCAGCCGAGTCAGCATCCCAGTGGAGATCCTGACCGATCAGGGGACCCCCTTCATGCCCCGGCTAATGGCTGACCTCTGCCGGCTGCTACGGGTGAAGCAGTTGAGGACCACGGTCTACCATCCCCAGACCGATGGACTGGTCGAACGCTTCAATCAAACGCTCAAGCAGATGTTGAGACGGGTGGTCGCGGAGGATAAACGCGGACCAACAGTGCCACTATAACCGGGCAGCCCAGCCACGGGAGTTCGAGCCCGGAGACCGAGTCATGGTCCTAGTCCCCAATGCGGCCTGCAAATTCCTGGCCACCTGGCAGGGTCCCTATATGGTGGTGGAGAAGATTGGGCCGGTGACGTACCGTGTGCGCCAGCCAGGGAGGAGGAGAGCCGAGCAGCTCTACCACATCAACCTGCTGAAGAAGTGGGTGGGGACTAGAGACCAGCTCACGCCCCTGGCCGTCTCTGATCCCGTGGTTGTTGAATTCAACCCCCACCTCTCGGCTGCCCAGAAGAGGGAGCTGCAGCACCTGGTCGGTCAGTTCTCGGATGTGTTCTCTGCTCTGCCAGGGCGGACCAGCATCCTGCAGCATGACATCCGGACGCCGCCAGGGGTCGTCGTCAGGCAACGGCCCTACCGGGTCCCTGAGGCTCGTCGGCGAGCTATTGAGGAGGAAATTCAACAGATGCTGAAGTTGGGGGTGATA